AGGACCGGCTCTCCTGTTCGGCCTCTTTTCTTCCTCTTCTCAAAACTATCTCCGTCTAGTTTTTAAACGTCAGGTAGAAAGGTGGCAGCAACAAAAAGCGCAATCATATCGCAAGGTGGAGCCTTCGCTTGCTTCAGTCATACTGAGCAATAAGAACAAACACACCAAACAAACAAACAAGTGCCTAGCCATTTAATTAAAAAGCTTCTTTGTCGCCAAAGATGAGCCCCAGGGAAAATCGATTTTGTGAGCTCGTTGTGCTGGTGAGTTCTGTGTCCCAGATTCTTACACAGGGATTCCTGAAAAACCAGTGTTTGGATTGCTGAGGTCAGTTGGCAAAAGCTGAATGGGAAAGGCTCACCAAGTTGTGTAACAAGACAGCTGTCTCCTCAAAAGGCTGGGTCTGACCTTATTCAGTTTGGACTTTCTGTGTCCCAGCTCAATAAGGGAGTCCTTATCAAATGTTCAATTGTAGAGATAAGATAGGAACAAACTTTTCCAGTGTAGCTTAAGCTGCAGCCTTGTAATACTTTTTCCTGGGAGTGAGTAAATTCTATAGAAAGCTTACTGTTAATTAGGCATACACAAAGGTTCTGCTTTTAAGGGTGCCATCCTGTGTATGATTATACAGCAGTAAGTCCAACTATTGCATAGACCTTATTTTGGGGCAAGTATTTTAGGACTGCAGCTTCAAGGTACCATCAGTTAACCATGGATGCAGCTCCTTAATCTGACATAGATGGCACTTGCTTTGGGGGAAAAGAAACATAAGCAAAAAACACAGCCAGTTATTTAAGGGAATTTGGGGCAGGGGAGACCCACCAGGAAGCCCCAAGGCAACAGCTGTTGTTTGCTGGATAGCTTACTTCTGGGTTTATCTAAAATATGAGAGCTGTCAAACAAGGAAGCCATACAAATCAATACTACCAGTTTGTGCGTAGTAAACTGTAATGTAAATAAACACTTTTGAGGAGCAGTCCAGATGGTGTGACTGTCCCTGGAAGAGAAGTACAAGACATATTGTAGTCAAACATACACAGAACACAGAAGCAGAGCAGAATACAGAGAGAGTTAACATTAACTGTGAAACGGATGAGAGTTCAGAATGAAATGAAAGATTGTTTCATGAGTAGAATAGTAGTATCCACCATATGTTGTTTTCAAAGTATAATGACCCTATAGATAAACTGGCTATATAATTATTATTCCAAAATTATATCATTCCTTAAGGAAATCCTTCCTTACTAGAGGTACTGCAGTTTCTTTAGAATGGTAATCTAGTGATATTCCTTTGTGTCTGTTTTAAATATTAAAAGGCACTTCTCAGACAATATTATTTCTGTTGGTGGAGTTTCACTTGTGTTCTGCTTATCCACAGTGTCTGGTTCATACTGGCCTCTCAAATTAGATTTCCGTACGTGACAATGTCAGCCACAGCAAGTTGCCTATAGGTATATACAGTACAGGTATGTCTCTATGTAATGCATTAGTGGGTCTCAGTTTTTGGACTTCAACTCCAAGAGTTCCAGGGGGCAAGACCAGGGGCTGAGGAGTCTAGAAACTGATGCCACAAGCTATGTTGACAAAAGGTCTGATTCACTATAAGATGGGTTTCTCCATCCTTTTGTTATCCTATGTGATCTACATGAGAGACAGGTGTATATCTTGTATACGATAGAGAACCTTAAAATGTATATGAAATTGCATCGTTCTACTGTGAGTCAACAAATAATGAAAAGTGAGAGGTGATTGTAATATGGCCCTTTGAAGTGTGATATATTAATATGATATACTGTACATATATTTGACCTACAGGCTTATGCTTAAAAGAAAATAAGAAAGGAAAGGAAAAGAAGGATGGACTGAATGCAATTTGCATTCTGCTGATAGCTCAGTGGGATCCCAGGTACCAGATCTCTCCTCAAGATAAAATGAAGAGGCATGTTTAACAGAGGAGCATTTTCAGAGTAAAAAAAGTTGAGGTGAATAAGCTGACAGGTGGTTTATCCAGAGGTTCCTAATATGACATCTGGTGGCATTAGCCAGGAAGTACAACCTTTTAAATACTAGAGAGGGAAATGGCAACATTCTCATTGTTCAAGTCTAGCAGTTTTAGATTTCAACCTAACAGGAATTTCCATTCCAGATAAAACTGAATTGCACAGCTTTTTCTTCTTCATTTACATCAAAGGGGCGGGGGGAGGCTTATGACCTACCAGAATGTATGGGATGGGTCTAATCTGCCCCCATTTTCTCTGTATATAGTCTCTAAACTCTCTCTAGTGTTCAGATCCCTCATGTAAACAGAACAGAACACCTATTGTCTTCGAGATTTTTTTCCCCTGTCTCTTTTTCTTAACTTTTTTCCTATTCTATGTCTCAGGTACCCTCACTGTTCCTCAAGGCCCTTCTTTCCACCCTCTGTCTCATTTCCTTCAGCTCCTCTTTCATGCGTTAATACTGTCTTTCTCAAAAAAAAGAAGAAAAGGAAAAAATGGAAAAAATGGAAAAAAAAGGAAAAAGGAAAGGAAAAACAAAAACATCAGGTTCTTCTCTACTTAAATTATTATACATCCTCTTCTCTGGATTCTTGGCCTTTTATAATGTCTCTTACTGTTATCTTAGATTCTAGTTTCTCAGCCCCCTGCCTAGCTTGTATGGTTCCCTTCAGCTTCACTTTTCTTTTAGGGCATCTTGATGTACAACTTTCTCATCCACCATCCCTGCACAGACTGTGTACTCAGCAATGGCTAGTGTGATCCTAGTTTAAACTGACTTTCCAATTCTATGTGAATAGCTGAATGCGGTGAAACATTATTATGTTAACAGTGTGATCCCTGAAGCAAGGGGAGTTGGCCTTTTGGTGAGAAGTCTGGAAACCCATGTTCGTGAAAGCTGGCCTAAATAGCTCTAGCTATTGTTTTATCATGATGTACATAAATTATGTGTAGTGGTCGTTATTTTCCCCCCTGCTTTCTTCAGAGTCAACACTTTCTTTCATAGGACTGTTAATAATTCAGCAAGAAACTATCAAATTAAAAAGTTGATATTGTAGATCTTAAACATTCTATAATTAATCTTCAATCACCAAATTAGGATCCTAATATGGAGTTATGTATGAATTATGTACCTTTTTATCTAGCATGTCCCTTATTATAAATTCTACTTCCGTGGCGAAAGCTCCTCTAAGCTGAGTTTGACTCAGCTTGTGCCCATAGTGTATCTGTTGTTTTCTGGAAGATGAGGAACTGTAAAGCTTTTGGCATCCCAGAGCAATGGAAAAATCTAAATCTGCTCACGTATAAGCCTTCTTGAATTCCCTGGAGCAGTATGTGCTCGGCCTGGATAATGAGATCTTTTAGGCAGCCAAGAAGGATTCTGAATTAGAGACAGAGAGAGCATAGCCTTTCTAGTTGCTACTTCAGTTGCTATTTTAAACTTCTCTGCAGTGTATAGTTTCCAGGAAGAAGTCTGTGCACTTGTATTGCAAGGGAAAACTGAGGGGCTATGTCAAGGTTATGGTTATAAATCACAAGGTCTGTGCTTCTTGGTATACAGCTTCTATTTTGGTATATTGGTACAAACAATATATAGATATCAAGGGAAAGGCCATCCAAATGTGATAACATTTTCCCCACTATTAAAACTATTGTTATCATTGTTATCAGGAACCTTTCTCTATTGGAAAAACCTTGAAGTGACAAATATGTAAAATGTGTTATGTGTAAGTTTTGCATTTATAATGTGTGTGCTTTAGCACAGAGGTTGAGAACACCCTCCAGGCATTCTGGTCCACAGCTCATACAAATCCTTTCAATTTGGCTGAGGGGGATAGAAGTGCAAAATACCTGGAGGACAAATATTCCCCACCTTCAGAAATGAAGATTTCTGTCCACCCATTGAAACAGTATATAGTTCTTAAGGAAAATATTAATTTGGTTTCACAGGACAATACTGATTATGTGCTGTCCAATCATTTCCAAACTATAGTGACCCTTTCCAGGGTTTTCTAGGTACAGACTACACAGAAGTGGTTTACGATTCCCTTCATATTCAAATAGTTTTAGAGGTCACCCGGCAAAGGATTATATTATAGTGGGGTCTTGACTTGAGAACTTAATCCGTATTGGAAGGCAGTTCTCAAGTCAAAAAGTTCTCAGGTCAAATCTGCATTTCCCATAGGAATGCATTGAAAACCATTTGGGATGGAAAATTAAGAACATGTAAATTAGCTCACAACCATTTCCTTTACAGAACCAATGAGAAATGCTATCCAACCTGTGCTTGTTTATTCAAGTAAGTCTCATTGAGTAGACAACGGGCATCATACCCAAGTTATGTAAAGAATTCTTTCAAAGATCCAGACTCTTACAAAATACAGCTGCAGTCCAATCTCTTTCAGTCTGGATTGGGACTGTGGTGCCGATGGCAAGGCAGAGGTGGGTGGGTAACCATTCCATCATGCTCGCTTTATTTACCCAAAAGCATACATAACATGTTCCCCCTTCTCCAGTGCTATTTAAAGTAAATATTTGTTGGGTGTAGAGGCACCATGTTTCTGTAGTAGGTGACCTTTTGGTTTTCCCAAGAGCCCTTTGAAAGAGGTATTATGGACAAACAAAATGGCAGCTACCAGCTTAATTGAGTTTCCATGCCCTGAAATTAGTTCCTGCTCCCAGAACAACAGACAGGAGAGACTCCTTATTGTAACCTGATGGGATCACAGGTTATTAAAATAAACTAAATGCATT